TGTGTGAAAGCCCTCAGCCAGCCTTGGGCTTCAGCTCTGCGTCCAGTTCCCAGCCCACTGAAGCTAGAGGCTTTTCTTCACTTAGACAGCTGCTGGCTGCTGAGCCTGCCAAGCCCAAGGTTGACAAGTAAAAGGGCACAGTCCCGATATTACCAAATCACATGGCAGGCCATTAATTCAAGTCCATTATAAGTCCCAAGGTCGGCAGAGCATGGCAGGCTGTTGAACAATGACACAGCTACATGCAGGGTCCAAGCATGCCATAAGTTAGAGAGCATTCCCAAAGCTGCTTCTTATATACAGGAAGCAGACCACATACCCAAAGCCAGCTACTCAGCTGCTTATGGTAGATCCCACCATGGAGTTGATTGCCAGTCTCATCATGAGGAGAAACTACCACCAGCTGCCCAGCCACTCAACCAGGACCAGCCAAGTTGACATACAAACATAACCACCACAATTCCACCCCTTGTCAACTTGGCATCTATACAGATCATCATTGGGTGGCATCTGTACAGATCTCTCTCACTGGGTGGCTCCAGTCCCCTAGCTCCTCTAAGTGGCGACCTTACCCCCTTGGACTAGCGGGCCCCATTCCTCTCCCTCTTGGGACTGGCAGCCCCACCCCCTCACTCTTGGGCAGCGGCTATGGCTCCATCCCACTGACTCACATGAATGAACACCCCCACACTCCAGAACCAAGTTGGTGAAGGCCTGGCTCTTTGAAACCTAGGGTGCTGTGGTCATTCTACCCCCAAAGGCCATGGTCCTACCCTTTCAGGCTGAGGCAGCTCTGCTTTCGTTTCCTTGGTCTCTCTGCTTCTTCCAATTAATGCCAAAGGCAACTCACTCCGCTGGAAATTTTCCTGCCCAAAAAGCACTCAGCTTTCTTGCTCTGTGGGCCAGCCAACCTGCTACTCCATTTCATGCCAGTCTTCTCTACCAGTTAATGCCCAAAGGCAACCCACTCTACCAGTAAGCCGCCTAACCAAAGGCATCAAGCTTTCTCGAGAACTCCATAGGCTGGTAAGACTGTCACTGTCTCATGCTGGTTCTCTCAGCTCTGCTACTGCCGTCTCTCATGCCAGTCTCTGGGCTCTCCTCCTGCCATCTCTCATGCTGGTCTCTTGCTCTGCTCCTGCCATCTGTCATGGTGTATGCCAGGGTCTCTCTGCCAGGGTCTCGGGTCAAGGACGCACTCCACTCCTGTTTCCACATTTTAGGTATCTGTCAGAGCAGCACCCCATTCTCGGTACTATATTCTGTTCTGGTTACCTAGTGCCACTCTGACAGGAATATACCACAAACAGGATGGCTTAAACAAACAGGAGTTTACTCTCTTACAGTTTGGAGGCTTTAAGTCCAAGTTTAAAGTGCTAGGCTTAGGGGCTGCGTGAAACCCCCTCAACTTTGGGGTCCAGCTCTGCCTCCTGCTCCCGGCCCACTGGAGCTAGAGGCATTTCTTCACTCAGACAGCTGCTGGCTGCTGAGGCTGACAAACCCAAGGTTGACAAAAAGGCATAGTCCCGATGTTACCAAACCACACGGCAGGCCATTAATTTAAGTCCATTGCAAGTCTCAAGGTTGGCAGAGCATGGCAGGCTGCTGAACAACAACACGGCTACATGAAGGGTCCAAGTGTGCCATAGGCAAGAGACCATTCCCAAAGCTCCTGCTTATATACGTATGGAAGCAGACCATATACCCAAAGGCAGCTACTCAGCTGCTTGTGGTAGATCCCACCATGGAGTTGACTGCCAGTCTCATTATGGGGAATAATACCACCAGCTGCAGTCACTCAAACAGGCCCAGCCAAGTTGACACACAAACATAACTACCACAGTTGGTGAATGTCTTGTTGTATATGTTTTCACCACAATGAAAGTTTAAAAAAAAAAAGAGTGGATTTAAAAGGTCCAACTACACCAACTGCTCTGAAAGGGATCACATTAGAAGGTCCTGGATAGAGTAGAAATGTGGAACGAAACTCAAAATCATACAAAAGGCCAGGCTTCCTGGTCAGAGACTGGTGGCACCCCCGAAGCTATGGCCCTTGATCACCCTTTGGACCTGGAAATGAACTTACTTCCTGTAGCTCAATTTTCAGTCAAACAATAGACAGGTTCTACCAGGTGAACAATAACTCTAGCAAAGTACACATTCTTAAAACAATCAACAATTTGAGATCAAAAGGGCAGCATTTGCTCAAGGACAAAGTTCAAAAAGCAAGAAGTGTTAGCAGAGAAGGAGGAATGGAAACAAGAAACACAGGGAGGAAGTGGGAGGAGTGAAGTTACATTGAGGGGATTCCAATCATGACATGAAACCAAGTGTATGAATTGTTGCATAAAGAACTGATTTGCTTTGTAAACCTTCACTTAAATCACAATAAAACTTTTAAGAAATAAATAAAAAGGCCTAACTAAATCCCTGACACCATAAACCAAAACCAAACCCACCGTCATCCAATAGATTGCAACTCATAGTGACCGCCATTGGTTTCTGAGGCAGTAAATCTTTATCACAGAGTGGCTGGTGGGTTTGAACCAACAACTTTCTGGTTAGCAGTCAAATGCCTCAGGCACAACACCACCAGAGCTCCTGACATCATAAACCAAAAACCAAACTCACTGCCATGGAGTCAGATCCAACTCATAGCAACCCCTCCTTGGGTTTCCAAGGTGGTCTTGCTACAGACATAGATCGCTCTATCTTCCTTCCAAGGAGCAGCTGGTGGGCAATGTGAGATTTTCTCAGTTGGCTAGGGAGCTAACCTACTATGGGAATGGTACACCAGCGAGCTAATCTATTACAATCAGTTGGAAAGGCAAAACTAATTAACCCAGGTTTCCAGGCACATAACTGGCAAACTCCCACCAAAATGGAAACATGAAGACATTTCTCAAGGGCACAGAGTGCTCACTGTAACGTGTACATATAGACTGCAAGGTGCAATCGCCAGTCAGAACACCAACATTAAACAATTGCAATCAGCCCAAATTATGAAACCAAAGGATACATGAAGTGGTAAGGTGCAAGTCATTCTATCACGCAAATTTTCAATGCATTATCTTCTCAAGGGGAGTCCCTGGGTGGTTACAAATAGTTAACAGATTTGGCCAGTCACCAGGTTGGTAGTGCAAAGTCACCCAAAGAGGCACCTCAGAGAAAAGGTCTGGCCATCTACTTCTGGAAAATCAGCCACTGGAAACCCGATGGAGTGCAGTTCTACTCTGACACACACGGGGCCTCCATTAGTCATGAGTCGATTGGACCACAACTCCTTTAGCCAGGCCTTTGTTACCAGCTACAAATATTTTTTTCAGAGGTCTAGGCCTGCCAACCAAACTGTTTCTTTTTCTTGTAAGAGTATGTTATTCTTTAGCACCTAAAAGAACATGGTGTGAAGGGCAGACACGGAGCTGCCTAATCTAGGGTGATAAGGGTTAATCATTGCTCCCCCACCCTGTTTTATCCCGTAGGCTCCAGCTTGCCAACCCCACTGCTTGAAAAAGGTGACTTGGTTCTGGCCGGTGGCTGAAGCGCGCGGCTTCTCTAATCCAAACAAGCCCAGGGTTGGCAGCACCAGGCACTGCAGTCAGGTCTGGGCACTGGAGCCGGCCATCGAGTTCTTTGCTGAGGGGATTTATTTATGGACTTGTTTGTGGAGCCGGCGGATGGAGCAGCGTGCGCGCTAGCTGAGCCTGGTGCTGTTTACTCTTGGGGCTCCAGACCGTGTCGAGTTTCCTCCCTTTCCTCTCCAGCTCTTTCCTGACCAGGCAAGCCACGGCTACCGGCACACACTGGTCACGGCGACTCTGCCTCTCGGTGCTACTAGTTTATCCTTCAGGGTCAGACTTCTGTCCTCTCCAGCAGGGGCATCCCTCCCCCCACCCCAGGCTATTTTCAGTCCTGTCTCCACCTGTTCCTCAGGCTTTGGTCTCACCAAGACAAAAAGAGCGCAATACCTAAAGGTTCCAATTTGGCCACCAGTCCTCCACCTCCCACTACTCCCACCCCCAAGCAGTCTGCTGCCCTCGGACTGGACTGGGACTGCTGGTTCTCGGAAAACTCGGTTGCCACGACGAACGGGCCCCCAAACCTCACTCCCAGAAAGGTTACCAAACTCGAGAAGTAACCCCTGCACTTCTGCCCTGGGAGGGTGTCAATTTTTCAACATCGTAAAGAAAATCCACTGCTGCACCACATATTAAAGCAGCGGCTCTCAGCACTGAGACACTGCCCATATCACAAGGGTCTTCAGGGTTTTGTTTTGTTTTTGCTTTTTTTCCTCCCTTTCTACTCTGGTTCCACTGTTTCCTTTTCATTGTACATACTGTCCCCCGTTCCCAACCCTTTCTAAATTAAGTGGCTAAGTAAGTACTTGATCTTGACTCTTCTTGGTCCAGTTCCAATGGGACCCTGCTTTCCCCACTCAGCTGGACATGTTTAGAATTTTAGGCCACAGCCCTTAAAGATATTTTATGTACTGGCAATGGGCTAGTTGGCTTTTCTCTTGCTCCGGTGGGATGAAGGTGCAGCCCTCCAGCCTCGAACACACACAAAAACTGGGAAGGTCACCACTAAAGTCAGACGCTGACATCCCATTACGTCCCCCCTCCCCCGACCGCCCCGCCCCCTCTCAAGAAAC